TATAATGAAACAGCAAATGGACAAAATATTCAGGACAACATAAATATGCAACAGCATACTTGTCAGTCTCTCCAGATGAACAACTATTATAACTTTTGCTGATATCACCTGCTTGGGCTGATGCTATTGAGCTCTGTGGTTGATACCGAGATCAGATTTATAAAGCTTCTGTTGTACCCGAGTATAGTGGCTTAGCTGCTGTTCCAAACCAAATTGTTGCTGCAACTTTACATGCTGTCCTATAAGCCGCCTGAAACGGAGAACCTGCTTGATTTGACCCCGATTTAGTCAATCAGATTATGAATCTTATAAGGCTTATTGCCTTGTGAAACAAGCTCTCCTCACCAATAATCACCACAAGAGCATGAACCATTTTGAATGTGGTGAAATCTATTCCCATCTCGAATTATAATCTTTCGATCAGTAACCGTGGACATAAATTTCATAAAAGAATGGCAGTCCCCACAAGTGCGAATATTTTTCATAATCTGTATAGGAGCCCCATTTGGTGCATGTAAAACCCCATATGCTACTGCAAGTTTCTCGCTATGGTAAAGAAGCTCAGTCTGTTTTTCTTCTTCTTCCACATCATGAAGAACATGGTTTGTATCAACAACATAACCTGTTGATCTGAAATGTTTATAATATTCCCCCAGGGCACTGTGAATCTCTTCAATATTTTCGTGTGTCTTGTCCCCAGAAAGAAAAGAGTGCAGCCTGTTTTTTATATGAATCCAGCTAATTGCCGGTTCCTTTTTAATTCCCCTATCTTTCAACAATTCCCTTACCTCTCCAACTTTATTCCACATGCCCTGAGATGCATATATATTTGATAGCAAAGTGTAAGTTCCTGATGTCAGGTTTCCTAACTGGAGGAGTTTATCTGCAATTCTCAAGCTAAGCTTCATGTTTTGGTGAATCCTACAAGCAGCAAGAAGGGCATCCCAAATAACATAATCAGGTCTAACAGGCATGTTATTGATGAGATGTTCAGCTTCATAAAGCTGTCCAGATCTACCAAGGATATCAACCACGCAAGTATAGTGATAAACCATTGGGGTAATCCCATAATCTCGGCTCATAGAGTTGAAATAAGCCCACCCTTTCTCCACTAACCCTGCATGGCTACAAGCGCCTAAAAGCCCTAGAAAACTAATTTCATTTGGAGAAACACCTGCTGCTTCCATTTGGTCAAAGAACTTGATGGCTTCTGTGCCAAGTCCACTATGTGCACAACCAGTCAAAACTGCATTCCATGTGACTATATCCCGTTCAGGCATCTCTTTGAAGACATAAAGGCCATCCAAACTCCCACACTTGAAATACATTGAGATCAAAGAATTGCAAACACATAAACATGAATCAAATCCATATTTAAGTATCAACGCATGAAATTGTTCCCCAAGCTTGGTTGCGCCTAGGCTGCCACAAGCACTGACAAGGCTCGTGATTGTTATGTCATTTGGTTTAATTCCAGTGGCTAACATGTCAAGAAACATCTTCAAGCCATTTTCTCCTTGTTCAGCTTGCACATAGGCTGAAATGATGGTAGTCCAAGACACAGTATCCTGCTTTGGCATCTTTTGAAAAGACTTGAGAGCATCATCTAACATGCCGTTCTCTGAAAATCCAGCAATTAACGGGTTCCAGGATATGTCATCTCCCACTCTCACTGTCTTAAAAGGCTGAGAAACATCTTCCATGTTATTGCGTTTTGCATACATGGAAATCAACACGTTTCCAACAAATGGACAGTGCTGACACCTTGTCTTAATTGTAAGTGAGTGTATTTGTCTACCTACCTCAAGATCTCCAATGCTTGCACAAGCAAGTAGGGCACTTGCAAAGCCTGACTGACTAGGAATACCCCCAGTCTTATGCAGCTCTGCAAAAAAATTCAGAGCTTCCCTATGCCTTCCATTCTGCACACAACATGAAATGATAGCTGCCCAAGAAGTAGAATTTTTCACTGGCATTCTTAAGAACATTTCTTTTGCTTCTTCAAGCTTTCCATTCAGTGCATACCCAGTAAGCATAGCATTCCATGTGACAACACTTGGGTTGACAATCTCATCAAATATCTTCCTAGCTTCATAAATCTTTCCCTTTCGAGCATATGCAGATATCATTGTAGATCGTGCGGCCATACCCTTCACAGAATCTGTATCGTATAAAGCAGCTGCATCATCCAATCTATCATTTTGTGATAACGCAGAAATCATGGTGGCCCATGAGTACTCGTTCCTCTCCGGCATCATCTGAAAAAACTTAAATGCGTTATCCAAATCCCCTATCCTTGTATAAGCATTCAAAATTGTTGTGCCCACCACAACATCTTTCTCGCAACCTGTCTTAATTGCAATGGTCCTTAAACTGCAAACCAAATACAAATGGTTAAACCCTATAATAGCCGAAACGCCAACTACCAATAACGCCTGGTCTGGCTTTACTCCACTTCTCAACATTAGCAAGAAAACACCCCAAGCTTCGTGGTATTCGTGTATCTCAACATATCCAGAAATCATAACCATCCAAGTTACGTTGTTCCTCTCGTCCATTTTATGAAACATATCCCATGCTTCTCTCATCATCCCACAACGACAGTAACCCGTAATGATAGAATTCCAAGACGAAATATTTCTCTCAGGCATTTCATCAAATAACTCTCTTGCTCTCTTCAACTCACCATTTTGCACGTACCCACTGACCAAAGCATTCCAAGAAACAACATTACGCTCCGGCATTGACTCAAAAATAATCCTAGCTTCATCAAGGAATCCATGCTTAGCATACCCAGATAATAAAATCGTGTAAGTCCTAACATTCTTTTCTCGACATGCTATGAAGAGTGATCGCGCTTCTTGCAACATTCCGTTGTGTGTATACCCAGAAATCATAGAGTTCCATGATACCGAGTCTCTTTGAACCATTGAGTCGAATAACTGGCGAGCTTCGTTGACACGGCCAAGTCTGGCTAGATATTGTATCGTTTCATTACATTGGTAGAGATCCACTCGTGGAGATTGTTGTCGAGTGAGGAGATAGAGAGTAGAGAAGGAACGAAATTTGGAGAAACAACGACTGATCATGAAGAAACATGAAGTGGACAACGGCTAAGTGAGGTTGTCGTTTGATCTGATGATTGTTCAAAGGCTTTAAACTTCGGAATTTTATTGGCAGATCACGTAATGCAAAAGAAAAAAAAAAAAAGATCAAGAAAATAATAAGTTGTTCGATAGAAAAGTAATTAAAGTAATTAGAAATTTTTATTATCTTATCCTTTTTAGATTCTGTCTTTCAAGATTATATATCCAAATTTTATATTATATTTCAAAGTTTAAAAATAAATTTGAGATACTAAAACATACAAAGTCGTATCCAATTATTCGAAGTACAATAAAATAACTTTGGGTACATGAAATTGCCAAAAACTCCTACATGCATACGATTTGTATGTATATTGTGCATAAATATAATATATATATATATATGCACATAAAAATAATATGTACATCTTTTATATGTTGTATACATAGTATGCGTCTATTGTATGTTCAAATGTAAATAAATAGTAGTTCATTTTATTAGCTTTTTTTTTTTTTTTCAACGAAGAGCTAAATCATTATTTGTGTACATTTCATTATACAAATTTAATGTTCATCATTGGTAAGAAACTTATCTAGGGATCTATCTAATCACTTATTCTAAAAAGATATTATTTAAATTCATATTTAAATATTAAAAATATAAAAAATAATATTAAATTACATATTTAAATATTAAAAAAAATTATTAATTTTTTGGTGATCAACAAAATATCATAACAATAACACAGAATAACAACTTCACGAATAAAAATCTTCAATTAATTTTAAAAAGAAGTTATCACCAATATGTTTTAAATAGAATTAGGCACTTAAAATATATACTGATATAATAAAAGAGAAATTAAGTTGGATAAGAAAGGGTGAAACACACGTCCGTTCGCATAGATTAATTTGTTTCGGTTCATTAAAAAAAAAACAAATGATGAAAATAAAAACTAAACAGAAAGATAATTTATAAGATAACGAAGATGAGAAAAAAGTAATTAATTTTGAAGAATACTAATTCATGCAAAAAGTGAATTGAGGATTACATGATAACCATAATTTAGTCTTTATTTAAGTCTTTAAACCTTTTACATGCTAATCATACTTAAAAGTACAATATACTCCTTATTTTTTCCATTTATTATTATTTAAGATTAAATAGTACTTGCAAAAAGCACAACACACACTCAACTTTATTTTTAAACAACACCAAACTAATTGCGTAAGGGAATAAATCCCCTGTGGTGAAAACATCAAATAGTTATGGCGGATATATTTCATGAAAGCGGTTGTGGAAAATATGTTCCCAAACCAAATACTTAAAATACACCCATAACCATATTTGAAAAATAGATAAAAGGTTAAATATGAAAAGCTGCTACCAATTCAAAAAATAAATTAAGGTGAAAGGGAAATAAACTACAACGCCCCACTCACCATCACACTAAATTTGTATATGGAAACTTCTAATGAATTCATTTAAATTTATCTCGTATTTATATATCATATTTTGTGATTTAAATTTATAATTTTAATTTATTTGATTTTATTATTATTTTATTTTTATTTATTATTATTAGTATTATTAATTTATTTTATTTTTTGTTCTATTTTTATTAAAAAAAATTCAGGTGAAAAAAGAGAAAAAGGGGCAAAGTCTCTTGGAAAACTGCTTGCGGGAAAGGTCTGTGCGGGCGGGCATCGCACGCTGTTCACAAGCGTGTGTGCACGGCCAGTGCAAGACGTGCACATTGTGCGCACGACCAGTCTGTGCGGGGCCATCGCGCGCAAATAAGCCAGTCTGCTTGCACGTCCCATCGCGCGCAAACAAGCCAGTCCACTTGTGTCACATTGCGTGCTGACAGGGCCAAGCATCGTACGCCCTGTGCGCACGCCGTCCGCGTAGTAGGCCCTGTGCGCAACAGTGCGCGACCAACCTGGGGAGGCACGTTGCCACCTCGAGTAGTGTGTCGCTACCCCTTAGGCGTTTTGCACCGCCTTGGGTAGTGTGCTGCTGTCGCCTTGGGTGAAGAGTCACTGCTGGTTGAGGATTCTTCTTCTGTTTTTTGCATCGCCATCGCATGGAGTCAAATCATTCATCTTCCACTCAATTTTCTCTCTTCTCATCAGATTTCGCCACTTGGTGCAAATCCAACAGTCCTCATTTTTTATAAATAGGGACTCATTTCTTCAATTTTCCTAATCACTTCCATGTCATTCTTCCATCCTCCAAGAGTTTAGAGAGAGATGGAGTGATCTAGAGAGAGAATGAGAGGAGAATAAGAAGAAATATGTAAGAAAACTTGAAGATTTTAGTAAAGAATTTAGTATTTCCTTAAACATCTTAAGGAGTATTTCTAGAAAATCAAAATTATGAAGTATGTATTTTATGTTTTGCATGATTTATGTTTAAAAGTTCAAATAAAGTGATTTGTTCTTTCTTTCAAGCATGTTTGTAATCTTATAGGCATTTGATGATTTGCATGTAAATTAAATAGCATGAATCTGATGATAATTGTCTAAAAAATATATAATAAAAAAAAAGAGAAAGGGAATGAGCTTGAAATGGTTCGTAAAATAAATGTATTTACATTGACATACATAATGCATCAAGTATCTTGTTAAACTCTTTATCTCTAAGGAGTTTCTATTTTTCTCTCCCTCATTTTATATGAAAAGACATGACAGAACTGCTTCCTGAAGATGATAGTGTACCCTATGACGAAAGCGGTGACACGAATATCTGTTAGGAGTCACCTTTGGCTAAGTACTGTCGTGACTATAGAATATCTGATAGAACCACTGTGGTTGGTACGACTTTAGTTATAGATGGCACCATGGCTTGGCAAGTTAAAAATATGCATGAGCAAACTGCCGTTATATATCTGATCTGGTCATTCCACATGAATAGTTGGAAATCAGTATTTGCCCTCAGATATGGAAGTCGGAACGACTTCGCAAAGTATGATACAAAAATCTGAGTATTTCACGATTTGTTTGATTTTTCTTATTATCAAGCATGATTTTGATTTAATTGTTGTGACTATGATATAATGGGTATGATGTTTTCTTTAATAAATATAATTATTTTCATAAAGTAAGAAAGAACCCTAATGTGACCTAATGGTAAGTATTAATGACATAATTATTTACTTTTAAAATCTTATGATATTATTTAAATATTATTTTTCTTACTGAATAAATGAAATTCACCATTTTCATGCCCCCCAAGATGATGAAGATAGTGAGGAACCGATCACTGACCTACTCTTTGAAGTTTATGAGGATCTCGTAGATCCATAAACCTTGAGTATATGACTTGTCCCGCACTTTGATGAGTCTAATCGCATAGTGAAAGAAGTGGCTCTTTTGTATTTTGATATTTTGTATTTTGTTTCTACTTCTATCCTCAGTTATATATATGTGTAATTGGAGCTTATATATTTTGGTAAGGTATTTGTAATAATTTGCTCTGCTGCATATAATTTCTATCATGTACTCATAATCTATTTCTGTATATGACACTCTTATACCTTAATTTACATTGAGGATGTCACAGATGGTATTAGAGTAGTTACGTGGACTAAATCCCTTATAACTGAGACTGTAGGTAGAAAGACCTTTAGGACATCTAGAAAGATGAGTCATCTTTTCCAAAACTAGACCACCAATTCATGTCTTCCTTTTCTTTTGTAGGAATGACGCGAGGGAGACCTTCCGTAGAACCTATTGAAAGACCCGAGGTTCAAGACCATCCAACCACTGCTAAATTCATCGAACTCTTCCAAGCTATCCAATGATTGACCGCAGCCGTAGGACAGAAGCAAACTAACCCTTGTCAGCACTTACCCCAGAATACAGAACAGCCAAAAGGTCTATCTCTCATAACATAGCGGAGTTTAGGAAGCTTAATCTACCACACTTTGAAGTGGCCCTAACCATTAGTAGCTGAAGCTTGGATCCCGCTAATAGAGAAGCTTTTCTCTATCATAGACCTAACCGAGAAACAAAAAGTCTCCTTAGTAGCCTTTATGCTGACTGATAAAATAAAACACTGGTGGCGACTTAAGAAGGAAGTCCTACCTATCCCTACCACCTGGGAAGTTTTCATGGATGCATTCTTTGATAACTTTTTTCCAGCCTATGTTCGAGAAAAGGAGGAGGAATTTCAAGACTTCTGCCAAAGAAATCTGATGGTTGCCTAATATGCAGTCTGATTAGTCCAACTTCTAGGTTTGCTCCTCTAATGGTCACTCCCAAAAGTCGTAAAGTTAGGAAGTTTTTGAAAGATTTTCGTGTCGATATCTATGAGCGGGTTGTGATGCTGAAACCCAGTTCATATGTCGAGGTGCTAGAACATGCTCAGTTGGCTAAAGACTTCATCTGAGCCAAACACCAATGCATTATCCAAGTCCGTACCCAACAACAACAACCCCAATAAGCCAAAAAACAATTGTTTGACCCAATACATAGCCTCACTGATAAACAAACCCTACCCTTCCTCTTGCTCTACCTCTACCTATTGGATAGTTTGTCCGACTTTTTTAACCATATCAGCATTGTGGTCGCTCGTATGGTGAATTACCCTATCGACATATCAATCATGTCTGCTATCGGGATGGAAGCACCCAACACCTTATAAAGGACTGCCCTCAATGACTAAAGGATGTGGGCAGACCTGTAGCCCAGGTTGTGTGTACCACCTCAATGAACCCCGTGCCCTCCCTACTTCTGTCTTTATCTAGGGTATGTTTTCTATTTATGATACTTTTGTCAAGGTTTTGATCAATACAGGTGCTACCCACTCTTTTATCTCTTATGGATTTACTTATAAATTAGATATTATGCTTAAACCTTTAAAAACAATAATAGTTATAAAGACTCCCTCTAGGGAATTATTAGAAGCTCACTGTGTGTATAAAAATCGTAAGATAAAATCTTCAAAAACTGAAGTATTTGTAAATTTAGTGCTCTTAAATTTCTCAGGGTTTGACGTTATTTTAGGAATGGATTGGTTAGAAAAATATAATGCAATTATTAATTATAAAATTAAAGTTGTAACCTTGTGAACTCTTAAAAAGAAATAAAATCTATTTTGCTCCCTAACAATTGAATAAATAAGAATATGGATGCTAA